CGAGGGAAGTTATTATCCCTCCTCTACTCCAAGATGGAGAGGCTGCACCTGGGATACAGTTCTGGGTACTCCAAGAGGGATGCTGAAAGACTGGAGTAAGTACAAGAGGTCAGTGGCTTACAACACATGATCTCCAGGGAGTCTTGAGAGAGCTGGGCTTGTTTCTTTTGACAAAGAGGAGTTTAAAACATAAAGCTAAATTCTTGTTACTGCGAGATGACAGAGCAGTGAGCAATGACCAGAAACTGTGGCTTGGAGGATTCAGACTGTATATCAGGAAAATCCTCTCTCAAGGGTATGGTACTGCAGTGCTGGAACCAGAGCAGGTGGAAGATGCAATGCTAATCTGATCCGGGGTCAGTAACAGTCCTACTTCAAGTGCGCAGTAGGACAACATGGTCATCAAAGATCCCTTCCAACCAAAACATCCATGTTCCTGTGATAAACTAATGAAAATGTTTGCTCATTCTCTTACGAGAGGTGGTGTATTATACCACTGTGTTAGTGTCCAGAGAGAATTTATTCAGAGATTAAATTTATAACTTTCCTAGAAGTACAGAGAATCTAATTTCTTGCTCATTCTAATATTCAGAAAAAATCATTGTATTTTGCAGGAATACTTGTATGAACACAGTTTGCATTATCTTCTGGTATATTAGTAAATTAGTAAAACTGAATACCTCATTCAAGTGATTCTTTTTTTTTTCCCAAGACGGACTCATGGCAGTCTCAGTTTCAGACGTGATAAATTCACTTCACTCAATTAGTTGTTTATGAAACTGAAAGTTCCACTTAAGCATGAGCTATGTTATTCCCTCAGGTCCAGTAAAAGCATCAGACAAATCTTGACAAAAACAGTGAAAATCCTATAACATATACCCCAAGCATCAGTTTACAGTTTCACTATGACATCAGCTGTAATGAAAAGCAAATAAAAAGTTGCCCATTTAAAAAATGTTAGTTTCCCAAACTGTCACAATATATAGTTTATAATAAACCAAATTTTTGTCATTGTGGTGAGTTTGATTTTCTTATCAACAGACCAGAGAACTTTGAAGTTATTCTTTGTATTTTATAAAATAAGGGCATAAACCCTGATGTGAGGGTGACAGAGGAGTGGTGCAGGTGGCCCAGAGAGGTTGTAGAATCTCCATCCTTGGAGATACTCAAGAGCCATCTGGCCATAGTCCTAGGCAACTCACTCTAGGTGGCCTTGCTTGAGCAAGGGGGTTGGACCAGATGACCCTCAGAGGTCCCTTCTAACCTCAACTATTCTGTGATTCTCTGAAGCATAGTTTGATAGACACCAGAATCATGTTCTGCACTACTGATACGTTGGTTATATTTTGGACTATGTGAGTCTACTTTTAATTTGCTCAGTTGTCCCACCATTCTATGCTGTGTACAACTTATCTTCAGTACTGGAGAGAATGTATTGGTTGATACAAAATATTTTGACTAGACCTTCTCCACCCTCTCTGCTTCAGAAACCCAGTGGGACTAATAAAGGACTAGACATCCATTCTCAGATAATGATCCCACAAGAAACGAGGGTCAGAAAAACCACAGGCACAGAACTTGCTTTTAAAATAAAAAACAGTGCCCATGGCAAGAGAGGGTGAGAGGAAAGCGGGAAATAATGAAGATATGGAGGAGAAATTAAATTTGTTGGAAGCAGCAGTTATTGCTGATGAGGGAAATACATCATCATTTTCAGAAAGAAATGGTGCTGTTTGTAATTCAGAGGCACTACTAAATGTGATCGTGTTTTGAAAAAGTTGTTCTACCTGTCTGTAACTCACTTTTGTCTTGTTTCATTTTCCTTGGAAGGGTGAAGTCCTCACCTCAGAAAGGATTTATGTGGAGAGTTAAGCCTCTCTGTGCTCTGACACTGGTAGGGGTGAGGCAAGTCACTGGTCAGAGTCAAAGTACCCAGCATAGCAGTTGCTCCATCCTTGACTCTGTTCCCAGGACTAATTGCACCAAGACCTCAAGGGGGAAAGGTAAGGGCTGGTTTCCAAGCAAGAATCTTCAGAAAATAGGCGGTTCCCCCAGAGTGGAGTAAGAAAGTTGGAGGAAAATTAAGAGATCTGAGACCTCCATTTTGCTGCATAATGTAACATTAGATGAGCAGGTGAGACACCTAGGATGGAATGTATGAACTGTCCCTCTGGGTGGTTGAGGGCTATTTATGCCCTTCTTCCACCTCTTGGGGAAGAAGATGTCAAGCTACAGTTCAGTATCTAAAGGGAAAACCAAGGTTAAGATAGAGGAAGATGCATAAGGGAGACATAAAGGTACCTGTGTGATATTCTTTCTATGTGGTTGGTTATGTTGAAACATAAAAAAAAAGTAGGTTTAAAAAGTAGGGGGGGAAAGGTAAAACATGGACATAAGCTAGAAGAGACTTAAAATTCTCTTTTCAGTATGGCAATTTGATCAAGGTGAAGTTGCCCATGGGCAGCTTTACTGTGTAGAGGCACTGCTTTAGAGAAATGCTCCTTAGTTCAGGCAGACAAAAATTAAAAAGACGCAAGAAGGAATCTTTTCAGAAGGAACATTCTGAGGTACGTCTTCTTGTTCTTAGCATAAATACCATTTCTTCTTTTGTCAGATACTCTGAATAGCCGAGACTCAGTGACTTTTATTAAGGACATTTACAGCATTTACATTTTACACTCATGTCTTGTGAGTTTGAGTTTTCCTGTGTTCCTTGAACTGAATCCAAAGTTTCAGTTGTAAATTTTATCCTTTCTTAGGACTTCCTTCTCTGTTTGTAAAACTTCCCATCATCAACACTGACAACACTAGCATCAACACAGAAACACTGACAGCGGTCAGGATCAGCAGGCCCATCGCTGGCAATATTCTCCATCAGCACGGCCACCAGATAAACCATGAACACAATTTTCTTATGCTGGAACAGATGTATTGCAGAGGTCACAGTTCACAGCTTGTTTAACAATTCTGAGGCAATAATAAGGAACAATAGTCTATTTGCTCCTTTTTCCCAGGAGCAGATTAAGACCATCTCTTTGTAAATGACTTCCAAGCATCCCTAGAAAGCACTAGAGGACATGTGATCCCACATTTTGCTTACTTGACAGACGTTCGCTCTTTTTCTCTGTGTTCTGCAAAAGTTCGTCACTGATAACCCAGGAAGTAGATGGGAAAGCATAGTAAATGTAGTTAAAATTATTAGATTAAATAGATTAATTAAAATAAAGTAATAGATCAGTAAATGAAAACTTTCTTCTTCTGCCTCTGAAACTTTTCTTCAGAGGAATTCAGAGGTGAATAGATGAGAAGTCCTGCAAGATACAAAACTTTGGCAGAAACCATGCTCTGAAGGACCAAGTGGAAATCAGCAAGATTGAAATTGGAAGGACTGAATTCTGATTTTATTCTGGCACCTCTGAGAACTTAGTGAAGTCCAAATAATGGTTCGGTTGGATTCTCCTCCCATTCTGCTTCAGACTTCTCCTGAAAAGGGGACAGTTCTGTGCTGATGGAAGAATCAACCAGAATTTTGAATTTCAATTTGTAAGACTTCTCATATTTTTCTTCTGTGTAAGAAAGAATGTAGCCCCTACAGATGTCACAGGTTTTTGAAATTTTTTAAAATATAAAAGAGTAGGATATTCTCTTTGTATAAGAAACATGCCAAACAAACTGACATTTGTGTAACCCTAGAGGAATCAATAACATTTCACAGCTGTAATATAACATAGAATTTAATTACAAATGTTTTACTGAACCACTGCCATGAAGCCTGTATCTAAACCTGTATTTTAAAGGTTTTTGATTAGCACAGACTTGTATTTATCTATCCATAACAATAATGCCTGTAAAATCAAGTACATTCACACAACCAAAAGAAATACTCACAAATAGAGCCCTACGTTTTGTTAAAATAGAATACCGATAGTTTTGCAGTTAAATTTCTCAGTAATATTTTGACAAAGAGCATTCATTTGAATTAGTTCATGTTTTCATTACCACAGATTTAAAGACAGATAAAGTTGCACATTAATTTCTCCCTGTGCTGTATTCTTATAGAGTATTAAAAAGAACTAAAGAGCCGTAATATTTCTCAAATGGCATGTAATTATTAGGTGCTTTTCAAGCAACTTCACAAGTCAGAAATCACACTGAATTTCTAGCGCACTGCTCCTTATAAAACACTGCCATACTTGATCTAATCCTACAGCTGTACTTCTCAGATCAGCTATTCCTGTTTACATTGCTTATTTAGCCGGGACGAGTCATTCACAATATTCTGGAGACACACCTGCTTTGGTGAGAATGCAAATATAAAAAAAGAATGACCTATATATTGTTGGCATTGCTAATGCACCTTATATCAATGACAGTCATTCTAACGTAAAACCAACAGTGGTATGAAAAGCTGCAGCACGGTGATACCCATCTGGTAACATTAGATATGGGTCTGGGAGACTTAGGAGTGCATTATTTACTTACGGTGCTGAGTACTTACTTGATATGGAGTACCAAAATGAATGATCATTACTAAAACACTCAGGAAATCCTTCAACAGAAGACACAGTTCATTGTACATTTCCTACTTGGAATATGATTAGCAGTTGTCTGTGCATTCTAGTGTACAACCCCTGTGAATGTTTATGTGCATATATATGCAAGAACCAGGCTGGAATTCTTTAGGCAAAATAACATCGCTTATGAAGAGACATTTTTTGGTTAATTTAGAAGGAAGATGCGAAGAAAGCTGAAAAATTATTTTTCTGCATGACATAGAATTCAAATACATACTGAAGAAGAACAATGTCTCTCTTGTTGCTGTTCAGGCATGTAAGATACCCAGAGAAAAGAGCGATTTATCTTTGATAATGAAGGTGATAAATGTACTACAAAATGATACACTATAATAAATATTATACATAAAGTAACATTCATGAAAAAAAAGGTTATGAGAAATCAGACGACAGTCAAAACAATATCGAATCACTGCTGACTCTTACCTTAGAATTTTATTGATTGCTGTCTCTTTTTCCAGAAGGTTTCTTGCTCTGATGCTGAAAACAGATTTACGGAGCTATAAAATTAAGAAAAAGACAGTGTACTTTTTAATTGCTGCAAAATATCTGACAGACCAATAAAACACCATGATGCTGAGAGTATGTAAAATTAAACAAACAATGTTCTCTATCATAAAGCTGTTCTTCACAGTCTATGGCACAGGTGTCCTTTTCCAGGGAAAGGGTGGTGGAAAAAATCAAAATGGTCACCAAAAGCAAATTCCTTGAGGAATGTGTAAGATCCTAGCCTTATCTTGCAGCTTTCGGCCTCCCTATCCCAATCCCCAATCCCTACCCAGTTCTGGGTGCAAAGAAGCAGACAGTTTTGTTGACCAGCACTAATATTATTCCCTTTATTACAGATTTATTTTCTTCTCTGGCCAAACCACACCTTTGTCTTGATCCTTGCTACTCCTTCTCCACTTTGGATTTCGACTAGGCTGGATCACACTCTAGAGATGCCTTGACTATACAGAAAAGCCGCGGGTAGGGCTTAGATGTCTCATTTCAGTGCCTAGAGTTAGGTGAAAGTAGGGCTCCTGTTTCTCCTGAAATCAGGTTTGCTTGCCTGTTCTTGTCCTTGCCATCTTCACTATCATTTTTTTTCCTTTTTTGCCCCCTGATGTAAAGCAGAAAATATGGTGAGGAAAATGTGCTTGTGTTTGCCTCTGGTCATGCATAGCATTTTAGGCATATTCTTGTGAACAGGGCTTCCTGGACATTAAATGAAAGGACTAGGATACAAGAGAAAACAAGCACTTAATTCCTAAGCAAGTAGTAACAAACATGGCTAATGAAGGAATGAATCACAGCTGAAGAATCTGGTTGAGGAATTGCACCTGTGTTGAACAGAAAGACTCTGGCACCTTGTAAGGCTTAATTCTGTCAACTGTGTGGAGATCATTATCTTGAAACGAATGATTGAGAGAGACTTGGGAGCTCCTAGCAACATGTGCCCTGTTTTTGATCAATCTGAAACAGTATCTTTAAGCATGTTGCTTTAAAACTATTTATTAAAAATACCAGATTTGTTTAATGATCTGTGTCTGACCTAAGGATGTAAGTAACAGATTTCTAAAACACTACCTCAAATCCAGAGTCACTAGACTAGAACTTCCCTCAAGACTCATACTGACTCAGATTCATGTTAAGATGTCACAGTTTGGAGAAAAATGGAAGCCTACAAAATACCTTAAAACTTGTTAATTATACTGGCTGTCCTTAATAAAATGGCTACTGCTTTTTAAGCCACATCTGTAACAGCAGGCTACAGACTCTCTCCTAACATTTGCTTTTTCAAGTCTGGCCCCTTTAGCCTTTCTCAAGTCCTAACCCATCTCTGTACAACCTGTGGAAGTAAGAACATAAATGATTTGAAAACGCCACTATTTTGAGATTCTGTGGGTTTCTCAAAAATCCTGCAACTTGAAAACTGAAATAAAGTATGCGACACTTCAGAATGTAGTTTGGAAAATAAAGTACTGGAACTTCAGGTAAGATTAAAAAAATGGTAACAGAATTGTTGAATATTTGTTGAATAGAATTGTTGAATATAAACCAGAAAATTGTTCCATTATCTGGGTATGGTTAACATCAAAATAAACTCAAAATCACAGTATGAGATATACTATTACATTAAATATTGTGTAAGGGTAAATATTTCATATATTGAAACATATTTGTGTAGGTTTTAACTTATTTGCAGTACATCAGCACAGGTTTAGTGGATTTATCAGCGTGGCACTTTATTATGGATTTAGATATAACTGACAATGGTGAAAGCAAAGGCAACTTCTTCACATCTTTTTATTCTAATGTCAACGGTTAGTAACCGGAATCCCAGAGAACTGATTTTCTCCCTTATCAGGATTGTGGAAAGAAATGAAACCTCCAGACTACAGGAGTGATATCTATCCTTTCGCAAGGTGTTACCTAATAATTTTTTAGGGCTCAAGTAGGAACATCAAATTTATGGGAATAATCAAGGTGGAAAACAAGCCTTTTTGTGTCAGTTGTTTTTTCCTGTTATAAATAATTGGTTTATAATAATTGCAATTACATCAAACATCAGGGGAAAAAAAAGTGTGATGCCTACTAATGTGTTATGTCTATTTAATTCTAGTAACAATTCTTTGCTTGTTAACATCTGAGAAAATGAAAAGATTTCAATCACAGAAAGCATTAATTTTCTTCCACGTTTCCAGCTTTTGCTCACTCAATTTCAGAAAAAAAGCCGAGGCAAATAATTTTTCCTTAAATTTGAATGAATACATCTCCCTATCTGGCATAGGCCACTTCTTTTATAGGTTAAAAACAGGTGCCAAAACACCTCGGCATTAAGTGTATGGCCTGAGCAAGGAAATTCACTCAGGTCATCAACAACGGAACGTGCCTGGGAAAGTGGGAGCGAGGAGTCGACTACTTTTCAAAGACTTTACAAGGGAGGCTGGGCGCTTGCACAGATACATTTAGTGCTTCCTCAAGTCATATGTTAAACCATCTAGTGCCAGCAGGGAAGAAGAGCAACTCAAGAAGAAGCTCAAGAAGAGCTGTTGGCTGGTCTAGGACAAGGGCTACTTACGCCTGGCACGTTTGTTAACCAGGGACTGCCAAATCGTCCCTCTGGGTAGCAAGACTTAAAAAGAAGGAAGCAGTGGTGTGTGTTTTGCATAAAAGCATACTGCTAAATCCCTTGCACGCCTCAGCTGAAAATGGTTTGACTTCTTGTTTTTGACGCGTTCAATGAACACTCTAGTCGTCTGCTGGAGATTTGCAAGGACAGTGCTGCACTCTGGTATTTGGCCACTGCACAGCCAGAGGTGCAACCTCGACAGAGCCAGAGAGACAAAGTGAAGCAGTAGGAAGGAGATGAGCAGGATGAAGAGCTCATTTCTGGAGCCACTGAGATGGGGAGAAAAGGCTGGGTTCCGGTTCCTACTCCCAAAGCTGTTCATTAATTTAATTCAGTGATGCTTAAACAAATAAATGCCTAAAAAGTCATGGGAATGGGGAAAGCAACCAGAACACAGGATGTTGCACCAGGTTATTAGTGCAAAGAGTGCATTTACTTTTCCTGTGCTTTTTTTTCAGAAGGACTAGCTGTGAAACTTGCACCTGAGGCAGTATGTCCTTGGGCATTGACCATGGCCTAAGCATACCCAGTGGAATGAGGCTTAGGTGAAGTTTTGAAGGTTTGTTACCATCCAGCCTGCCTCTGCATTGTGATAGAATTTAGTCTGGATCCAGGTATCCAGTTCTTTAATCCAGCAATACATGAGCATGCACAAGATCCTATACTTTGGTGCCCAGGGATCTCAGTGGTCCAAAATGGAACTGCTAATACAACCCAGGCACTTCCAAGGATTACAGCTTCTGAAGATGATGGTCCTCATCGCTCTTTAGGACTTAGGAGTCCTTGCTTCAGCAGAGCTCTGGTGAATTTATCTTAAATTTAAAATACCCAGAAGAAGCAAATACAAGATGATATTTTTAGATATCGATCAGTTTCTTGTATTTAAAGGAAGCAGCAGTCAGTCAAACAGCAACATGCATATGTCAATATGTGTGTTGAAGAAAATCAAACATTACTATAGATTTTTAAAATAAGTGTCCTTATTTCTACATTAGATAAATAAGCCAAACTGCTTCCCATTTAATTTTCCAAATTTTTATAGCACATCAGGCAAATGCAATGGAACTGAACAAACAGAAAACAGGAGTGATGATCAGTATTTTGTTTAATAATGTCTAGATGCTGCATGCTGGTGTAGAAGGCGGCTAGCAATTAAAACTTGTGATACCTGCCGGGTTCTTGAATATTGCAGCGGAAATTATTAGCAGTGTTAATGTACAAAAGACGTTACTCGATCAGACGATGTGAAATTAAATATGTACAGTGTACTGTGCTGAGGTTATTTTAGGGTATATCTGTTTAGCCTGCTGGGGTTTTTATTACAGATTGTGAGGACACCCTCAGTGTATCTTTATTAGCCATTATTTATTTATTTACCTATTAATGCAGCCTATAAATACACTCAGTGAAGAAATAACAGTGCCATATAGCCTTCTGCTAGAGAGCATTATTTTTTAGCATAAGATGCTGTCCTGACATCACCTAACAGTATCTGATGACTGTTAAATATCTTTTCAACAACACTTTTTAAAGAACTCCTGTCGGTTACTTTAATCTGTAAGGATTTAATCTGTGACAGGTCAGCAAATTACCAATAATATTTCCTGGATGAAAAGGTTTTAGATGGAAAGCATGCGCTCCTACGACACCATGAATAAAGCTCATGTCTTGGTTCCCACATTCCTTTGAATTTATTTACACAGATGTGCCCGTAGACACAGAATCTGGAGATCTGCAGGCAGTGCTTCTTCCACAAGTGCTGGCACCCTGCACCACTGCTGTTGGCAGAGTAAACTTCAGGCAGACAAAATGACTCAGTCCAGTCAGTGTGAACTCAATCTGAATGCTACATCCTATGAAACCCCATTTGCCCAAAACGACAAAGACAAAGCAATAAACCACTGTAACTGTTGTAAAAAGCTAAATCTTGTTGTTGCTCTGCAAGTGCCACCCGCTGCTTTGAAAAGGTACTGCAGACATTTTAAACAACGATATCTATTTAGTAATATATTTTAAAAATCCAGGCTTTCTACCCTGGAAAAAGAAAAACCTTGGCATAAGATCAAAAATAAAGCAACACAGGGTGATACCTTTGCTGGATGACAGCTAATGACTGTGGACCAGTCCTACAGCCTACGTATATTGGCACAGCTCTGCTGACTTCAGAGGGATCTATGCCAATTCGTAACAAACAGCTAAGATAGAGCTCAGTGGTTTTAAGTTTCCAGAAATGCTATTAATTCTGAAGGTTTTGATATGTTTTCTTAGCAACGTGTTTGTGTTGCACAAACCCCAGCAAGCACTGCATAAAGCAATTGTTTTCAACCTGAATTTGACAGAGAATTGTATGCTATCAACAGGTAAAAACTGTGGTGATGTAGTGTA